GCCTCCTTGTGTATCGAATACTTCACTTTGTGTTGTATTCACACCGCCCCTAACAGGCTGTGGGACCTATAGAACTGTTGCAGGACTCAGCGACGCACATGCTGGCCAGGATGCGGTGAGGGAGTGCAGCTGTACCAAGAACTGCTCATTGTTTGTCTGTTGTCGATTGCTTTTTGAAAGATTACAGTAGAGCTATTGTATCTAAAGGAGTGAATCCACAAAGGAATTTATAGGGGCTTATGATATGAGGAATGATAGTACAGCATGATGTTGATAATTACTGTATGGTTTGGCGTCTGAACTATAGCTTATAGAGCCAGCTAGTCCGGATAGGACTCTAGAAAATAAGTGACGTCAAAGAAAATGAGTGATAAGAATTGTAGGAATCGATTCATGCTTGAGGCCTCGAATTTTTTCCTTGCGTTGTCATAATTATTGGCTTTACCAAAAAGTGTAACATCCTCATCTGCAACAGTTTATCAGTAGCGATGGTTGACAGTACTGATGTATTGCACTTCTAGACTGGCTGAAATGTCGCCAGTTTGTGTTCTTATAAAATACTTAAAGTATGGAATCGGGTTCACGAGTCTCCACGTAAGAATTATGGACTTGTTGGGCGAGGAAGGTTTAGCCCCCGGGCTTCACCTGATTAAACCGTCAAGGTGTTTAATCAGGTAAAGGAGTCATCTTGTTATACGATTTCTTCCTTCAATATTTCTTGATTTTTAAGCAGGATAAAATTTAGAGGTTCACTGCATGACCTTCATCACAACTATCCGCGTTAGCATTACTAGACCTTCGCACGTCATGAATGTCATGGCGGGACGTGAATACTTGGTAGCGAGGCGTAACCACTGCTGGGGTGTGAGATTGGCAGTAGAGCGGGTGAGTGCGTTACGTCGCTGGGTCTCATACACGCAGCTTGCATGACACCGCCGCCGGGGTGGAACGCGTCTTCTTTTATCACTACATCTTAGTCACTTCGGTGACCGAATCGAAGACGTATTGAAACTAAAGCTAGAAGAAACTTTGGAGGACGTGGCCTGCGGTGCCTGGTGTGTGGGGGAAAGGTGTAATTCCATACGCGTGAAGGCAGGCAAGCTGGGTGGCCGGGTGAGGTGTACCTACCTAGTCACACACTGCAGCTCTTGACAAGGACATGTAGCGAGGTCTGGGTTGATGATATCCTTTTAATAATCCTTCCTCATCCTTTAAACAGATTTTCATTAACCTACTTGTGATGTGTAACTTGTGTAAACCCAGGATGCAATTGTAATGCTGCATTTCAGTGAGTTAACGCTTGTTAGGGGGAGAAAGAACCAGTTTCTCTAGCAGTCACCAGAAGAACTAAGTAGAACGTCCCCATTCATATTTTGACTGGGATGAGCTCAGTCGCTTGTACGGATAAAATATTACTACGGTGATGAATTTTTTGGCAGGGGTGTGGGGAGGATAGGCAAGGGGTTACTCCATTGTTGCTAGGTGAACCTGTGGGTCTGGAGTTTGGCCCCGCACACTACTACACGCTATCCTGTCAGCCAGTTTGGACGCCATTTAAGATTGTCAAGTGCTGTCGAATAGGATGCTTTTTGGTGGGTGAATTGTGGAAGTTAACTGCTGATATCCACCCCCACCCCCCCACCCGTGTGAGAATGAGTAATTTAGTGAAGTGTTTATGGCGAGATGTGGTGGTGCATAGGTCACAACGTGGTGTAAAGCCCTCTTGTGTTCTTCCCTTCCAGTCTGCGTGTGGGTTGGCGTCAGCAGCATCGATTTTTGTGTCGGAGAACTTTACTGGTAAATAAATAACGAGCTTGGTGCGTTAGCGAGTTGATCTGTGGCCGGAGTGATCAACCTCGAGATAGGGTGCATCTAATATGGCTGTTGTGCATTGTATGCCAGGCTGTTTGACTTTGTTCATTGATGGAAAATGACCACAGATCTGTCAAATAGTTGAACAGTGCTGTCAGTCATTAACGTGCGTAAAGTGACAGTTGTTGTGGCAATATAAGCAGTCTGGAACTGGACCTGTTGTGGTCGTTTTGATATACGGTAATTTAGAACTACTTAAACTACTGATGCTACTAGTTATGTGGGGGTAACAAGGCTATCACGGAGTTAAAACACCTTTGAAAGATTGCGTTAGAATTGTGTAAATATTGTTAGTGGTTATGAATGCCCCCGTAAAATTTTAGAAATGTTTGACACAGAAGCTTGATACTGGGGTAATGGGCGAGGATGTGCATGTACGGTTAACCCCCCCCCCCAAAAATATCTGCCCCTTTATGGTGTTTTACAATGACACACCGGACCAAGGATTCTGAACACTCATTTCCGCGGGTGATTCCTGTTAATATCTATATTAACTGATATAAAAATACTGTTTATACAATGCATCAGACAACCAGAAATACCATCCTTACCAAATTAGCCCCAGTCAGTGATCGTTGCAAAGACCATCAGACCAAGGTGTGCAGAAATTTTTTTGCAGACTGTATACAATGGGATTTTCACGTAAACATTCACGTCCAGGTCTTTAAACGTTTATAACTGCCATTCTTTGAACTACAGTATATCGTGTTCAGTTAAACATACAACGGGAATTGTATCGCCTGGTGTATGGTCTGCTGAGTTGTGTACTAACCTAACCAGCGCTGGTGTGACGAGTTTGGACTGTGCAAGAAGTTAGCACGTTAAAAATTGACTCTTCAAGATGTTAACTACTCCACTGCACGATGTACTGTATGTATGTATGTGATTGGTGACTTTGTGAGAGATGGCCGGAATCTCGCGCCTTGCTGAATTTGCGAGGTGGCTCACCAGAATTTCTCGGTTATTAATCTGGTGTAGGAGTGGAATTCAGTTTGGAATGTTGCCTCGGCCTGAAAATTTCCTGGTCACCATAACAAGAGGCTGGGAATGTAGTCGGTCATAAACCACTAGGACACCCAACATAGCAATGAGAAGCGCCACTAGGACACCCAACAAAGCAATGAGAAGCGCCACTAGGACACCCAACACGGCAATGAGGCGCCACTAGGACACCCAACACGGCAATGAGAAGCGCCACTAGGACACCCAACACGGCAATGAGAAGCGCCACTAGGACACCCAACACGGCAATAACAAGTGCCACTAGGACACCCAACACAGCAATGAGAAACGCCACCAGGACACCCAACACGGCAATGAGAAACGCCACTAGGACGCCCCACATGATCAGGAACGAGGAGCATCTGCCATAGTGCTTCAGGCTGGTGATGCAGCCAGTAATGTGCCCCCAGTGTTTTTGTATTACACCTTATTTGGTACCAATGTCAGGGTGCGAGTCAGGGCCAGTGTATGTAAAGGGGATTTAAGGGGGGGGGGGGATTTCACCAGGTGGTAGGCACCCTCCGCCCAGCACGCTGGTGGGGATTCCTGCCTCGGGAGGCTAGTGAAGCTGCGCTGGTTGTATCAGAAAGGCAGACAGGATTACCAGAGTTTTCGGTATTTTGTTTATCGGGATTGGTTATACATTGGTCAAGTTTTTTTAATATTAGTCTTGGTCTAAAAGGCTTGCGATCAAGAGGGCAGACTCAAATGTGGTGGTCGTCCCGAGGCTGTATTAAGCGCGGGTGCATCTGCGTTACCTGGGGTCATGTAGCATTTGTTGCAGAAATGAAAATGAAGGTAGACTGCATTTGTGGGGGTGTGATTCCCCCTAGTGTGGGTCACGCGGCTCCGTGCACGTGCGTATATTGATCCCAGTGCGTTCCTCCCACTCGCCGCCCCTCCCACCCTCACTCTCTCTCTCTCTCTCCCCTGCCCTGGCCGTCTCTCCTGGTTCCCGCCTGCCTGCCAGCGCCAGACTACTGCACACAAAGACCTCTCGTCCACGTCTGCGCCAGGATGCTCCCAGCCCCCCCACGTCCTCCCCAAGCACACGCATTTCCACACCCATCCGACTCTTCCCACTTTCTGCCTTTATAGCTGTTCCGTATGTTAGAGTAACCTAACTTGTAGAAATGTTTTTTTATGAAAATTACGTCTCATATTTCTTCATCAGCCAGGCATTCCTTTCCTCCTTCGTACTTCCATCATCTTGTTAGGTCAATAAATGCTCTTTTGTATCTCGGTAAACAACTGCAGTGATTATTTAGGGTTTGATGGTTGGATGAATGTGGTAGTTCCGTAAGCGAGACACCTTAACCTAGACCGGGGTAGCCCTGCCCATGACCTGCTCTAGACAGCCACCACCACCTCTTGTGCTCTTTGACCCCCACTCCTTCCCAGTTCAGTTTCCTCTCCACCTCTTATGCTCTTTGACTCTCCCTCCTTCCCTCTTTTTACCCTTGTCATAAATTGCATGACGGAAGACCCAACTTGTCATTGCACAACGAAATACTGCTGATCGTGTGCATCTGTTAGGGTACGCGGCTGGTGAAGAACTGTGATGGCGGGGGACGGTTTGTGTGGCGGGCGTGAGCAGTGTTGGTGGCAAAGAACAATGGGTGACAGGCGGCCCAGATACCATTGGTGGTGACAGCCTGTGGGGAAAGGGGAACGCTTGAATAGCTGTCGTGATTGGACGATGCGATAGGCTGGGTGGTGGTTGTTGCTGGGTGGTCACATGTTCTAATATCGACCTGATTTAGTTGACATTTGGTATCTGGAGCTCTATTCCTAGGCGTTGACATTGGTATGGGTTGATTAGGCCTTCTGAGTACTTGTACGGGTACTGTGTTGTAGACCCATCTTCCGCACCCTTGGAAATGGACTCGAACTGGCAGGAGGCACATTGAACGTCCCCTCCTCCTTTATCGGAAACTGCACTGTCAAATACATGTCATTTATCTGGCTGCTGCTTCACTAGTAGTGTGTATAAACTTTGGTTGACCAATTAGTAGATAACTGGATTATTATTTTCAGTTTGAAATAACCCCCGTCATCTTGAACGTAATATTTTGTTCCTGATATTTTACTCCCGTAAGGTTGCTGAAATGATTTTCTTTCTTCAGAATGTGGACCACAAGATGAAATACAAAAGCAAGAAGGGGCAGCTACCGTTCGTCGAGGTGAACGGCGAGGAGGTGGCCGACTCTGCCATCATCATCAAGGAGCTGGGTCACCGCTACAACACAGACCTTGACTCTGGACTCACACCTGAGCAACGCAACGTTGCTCACGCTACAGTCTCTGGATTGAGAACCACTTCGCATGGTAGGCTCGCTAATTATCCTGTTTTATTTTACACCTTAGAATCTGCTGCAATAGGGGAATAGCTGTTGGGTGTAGGGAGGAAAGAATAGGTGTGTGTAGCAAGAAGGGTAGGAAGAATTGGCAGGTGTCAAAGTGATGATGTACTAATGTTTAAATGGTACTCTAGGTTTGTAGTGTGTACGCATGGTACCTGTAGGATTGGAGGGAATGTTTGGTGCCTGTAGAATGGGGGGAGGGGGTGTTTGGTGACATTCAGTTTGGAGGGAGATAGGTTTGGCGCCTGTAAAATTGAGGGTGTTAGGTATCTTCGATAGGAAGGATCTTTGGTGCCAGGAGGATGTGACTTATCCCTGCCATAATCGTCGTCAAACGGTACAGTATATCTTTCAAGTTTCATATATCGCTTTTTTTTTCTTAAGTGTTCTACAGATTTCTTCCACATTGACACATGTAAAGTTTTAAGTGTTTGGGTCTTGTTTCACATCACGTAATTGGAAGAAGTTGGTTATGAGAAGAGAGCATTAGATATTGAGGAAGGGGGGGGGGTGGAGAGGCGTGAAGGTGGCTGGGTTACCTCTTGAATATAGTGGTAGGAGGAAGTTGGCTCGTCATTTTTGACATGTGAAACAATTTTTACTTTTGAGGTCTTGATATATATATATTGCGCGTGTTCGGGGTTTGAGCATGTTTTAAAGTTGTCCTCGGGTTGATATTGGTGTAAATAATGCTACCTACCCTCTTAAGTAATGGATTTACGACGGGTAGAGATGTTTAGCAAAGGAATGGGTGCCAGAGGCGGATATGTCATTAAGCGCGAGATGCGTTAGCCGTGTGCATATCACTGGATGGTGTGATTTATGGACGCAGTCTCTTAGGCACTGGTTGACATTTTTTATTCAGTTTGTAACTTGACTGATATTGGCTGCAAGTGAATGTTAGTGTGCTAATGTGATATTTCTAGGAGTGGGGCTGTGTTGGAAAGTTCAGTGCGGTGTGCAACTTAATGCTTGGCAGGGTAACCTCATCAGCTGTGGCTGGCGGTCGGTGGTTGCCATGGAAACGTGAGGAGCACCACTGTGGTGAGGACAGGCGACACCCTCCTATCCTCCCCTGACCTGCCCCGCCCCGCCCTGCCCCGCCCTGCCCCAAGCTCTAATCACGACCCTCCGCCATCTTTGTATAAAACCGCTTAGGAAGAGAAGGTTTCAACTGAATTAAGGCACGGGTATATATCTGTTTGTGAGCATTTGTTGCCCTGTGTAATTTGATGAAACGCATTGAATCACTAAATTACGCGATACAGGTATTTTGATAAACTAAAGAATAAACATCATGGGAGATAGACAAGTGACAAATTTCTTCACCGAGGCGTCCCCTTGCCATACACATGGATATTTGTAACAGGATAGTTTTAGCCGATGGAAATTATACATCCGGAAAAAAAAACACTGGCAAGGATTTCTACCCAAGTCACGGGCCCACCCAGACACCTTCGTAGGTGTTTTTACTTGAGGGTAGGTGGCGGCCAAGGTCATTAGAATTCTTTAGATTTTGGTGGCGGCGGCGACAGTTTTGCAAGGTAGGTAAGTAGCTCATTTAAACACGTGCAAGAGCTATCCATAGAACACGGCGATACGATTTTATAAGAAATTGAACTATCACAAGATAATATTCACGACCAAATTCAAGTTTGTCATGGTGACTCGATGTATGGCGGCACTTGGTATTGACGCGCAATAATTATAAAGGATGTGTTCGTCCGGCCTAGACAGTGTTGGGGCACTTGTAATAATTGCATTTTATCGGGTTTAGTTTTATTTGTAGGAGCCGAGTCTGTAAAATGTAAAACTTGTCCTGGCGTTGATCCAAAGTTAGGTGGAAATAGCTAGCTGTAGGTTCACAGTATTGCCATTAACTTTATATAACCCATAAGTATACGTGTCAACAGGCCCTTACCAGATGTGATTTTAGTTACTTGCAACAGAGCAGAAGTCAGGCATTTGGCAACTAATCTTACGCGGAGCTGACTGTAAAAATTGATGAACATGCAGTCATTGTGCTGACCTGCTGCTGACGCCAGGCGGGCAGTTGGTGGGAGACTTACTAGCAGGGTTACATGTCAGCGTTTGGAGGTATACTGGATGTTGGCTGTCGACGGCATTTGCCAATCGACAGTGATTTAGAATCAGTGAGATTGTCGTTAAAGTTATTACTTAGTAGATTTGGGTGGTGAGAGTTAACCACGTTGGGTGGGAGTTTGACTGGGTTGGATGGAGTGTGGTGGAAGAGTGTTGGTGTAGCGTTACCGGAAACTAGTGAAGACCTGGATTACTGGTCTTTTTTTCTTTGACACACAATACTTAACAACTTACGTTCATATGTTGAAGAAAAAATGCGATGTTGCATATACAGTATCTGATAGCCTCGAGTTGGTGAGGTGGTGGTCTAGTCAGTCGAGCTGGATAATATGTGGGATCAGGCATAGACTCTGCGGCTAGCTTGGCTTCAGGCTGCGGTTGGTTTTGTGATTTCATGATTGTCAAATTTCAGGTTATTTTTATTCCCTATATTAGTAAATGTTGATGTGATTAGTGAGGTTCACGAGGTGGTTGCGGGGTTTGAATTGCGATTATATACTACAGGCTTCTTCCTGAACATTCTCAGCCGATTTGCCGTAGATAACATTCTCAGAGATGGTTAGGTTAACTAGTAGCACAAGCTGGAAAGTTGCTTGGGTAAGTTTTGGAACAAGGTGCATATTACCGTTGTGGCAACTAATCATTTGGCGATGTAAAATATAGTCCATGATAGGAGTTTACTGCATAATGTTGTCTGGGAACGAAGTTAAGTGATCTCATCACCAGAAATGTCCATCATAATTGGGGTCCTTCATAAATTGATGAAAGTCGTGGGTGAAAAGTGCGCCTTTATAAAGTCAAGATCTCCGTCCTGGAGAAAGAAAAAACTTGGCCACAGGTTTGATGGGCTGGGTGTAGTGACCTCTCCTCCATACCCTGTCCCCTTCCTTACTTATCTACCTTTGTTCCACGAGCTAGTGGCAGACATGCTATTTATTTGTGCTTTAAAATAATGGGCAGTTCAATGAGTGGACATGATACTTATTAGTGATCAATTGACTAGATGATAATTTTGTTTTAAGGCGCGACTCGTTAATTAAACTGCTCACTCTAAAACGAAGCCATTTTCACTTAACGGATTATATTCATAACGCAAACTGGAAGTTAATATTCGTAGATGAACCCCGTTAACTTTAGAAGTAAAGGTTTGTTAATGGTGGTAGTGGCCTTGAGGTTGCGGTGTACAGTACAAGATTAGGGTTGATACAGGTTGGAATAGTTTGATTGAATTCGTGTTAACATATTTACGAAAACATGGTTAGCGTAATTACCAAAGATTGCGCTGTTGACTGACTGACTTTATATAAAAACAAGGTAAAGTTTATGTATACTGTACTTAAGCCCCGACATAAGATAAAGGGAAGCACTCTCGCAGTTTGCATTCTCATCTTACTGCGGTTCAACTGACTTCTCTAAGAGTTTTTACACTTTTGCAGAACAGTCATATTATAACATTGGTTCTCATATTGGCAAATCATTGTATTTAGGTAATTCTCTCACTAGCAGCTTAGCGTTACTCGCTTGTTCAGATTGGAATTAATTGATGTAGAAAGTATCGTACCGCACTGCCGGAGCTCCCGGCGGACCGTTGTTCCACTTGGTTTCCAGCAAAGTAATTTTTAAACGTCTTGACTGAAATGGCCGGACAAAATCAAGACGAGCTTATTTGCCTCCCAAATTTGAAACGGATTAGTTTGTCAACTATTTTCCTTGGCTAATTAATTAATTTTATCAGTCAGTGTGGGTGTGTGTGTGTGTGTGTGGTGTGTGTGTGTGTGGGGGGTGGTTAGTGAGCGTGGGAGTGAGTGACGCTACGCTGGGCACACACGGTTGGGAGCGAGCAAGGGTATGCGACGCCCCAGCCTCCATAAGATGAACAAGGTTGGCGTCAGTAACACTAGTCGTAATAGTGCTGTAACCATGTTGTGCATGTGCCTACTCAGATACCTTAAATTAATTTCTTTCGTTAAAACTCAGTGTTTCACGACGCAGACAGTTGCCTGTTGTGGGAACGTCTAACAGGAAGGCTTTCGTAGGTGTTGGTGCCAATGTCCAACAAACTTCTACGGTGGTCGTAAAGGAAACCTTGATGGTAGACTGTGGGGGAAAGTATAACTTTGAGGCTGAACGTTGCGGTCTGATAGTTGGACTAGTCGACTGTGCACGTTAGCCCATTGAGACACCAGCGATGGTGGCGTGAATGGATCATGACGTCACAAGGACCATCACACTACGGCAGTGATGCTCTGGTAGTTTGGGGTTTGTTCGAGGAGGTTTTGGTAGGAGAGGGGGGTTGTTGGGTTAGTTGTAGTGAGAAGCATCATGTAGGTTAATTTCGGTTGACGGGGATGGTGTTGTTGGGCAGGTTAAGGTTGGTTAGGGTGGTGGCGTGGAGGTGTTGGTTGATGGGTGGCGGAGCAGCAGGGTCCCACCCGCGTCCTGGCAGTTTTTTTTTTGTGGTCGCTCCTCTGGAATGTGTAGGGCGGTGGCCGTAGTAGTAGTGGGGGGAAAGAAGGGTGGGCGTGCGGACGGGGAGGTACATTATTTTTTTATCTGGAACTTTTATTTTTTAAACATTCTCTTCATGAAGTGGTAGGTATTGTTAATGGTTGAATAGTTTCCCTACAACACAATGTGGTGGAAAGCGTGTTGAAGACCGGGAGGGATGTGGGTGGGTGGGAGGGAGGGTTGGTGTGCATCCCAGGCGAGCGGTGGTGTGCGTGAGCCCCTGGCCTGCTGATTATTCACTTGGTGGCCTAACATCTGATCATGACTCACCGCTGTTGCTGCTGTCCTCTCGTCCCGTGCCTCGGCTGCACCACCTTACACACACCATCCACCACACTCGGCTGCCCCACCTTA